CTTTAAGCTGCCCTTCATATCAAATGAAGTAAGTCACGCCATTAAAAAGTGCTTAAGAAAAAGTGGTCTTGAAAATTATGTAACGATTGTTGACACCCCACCCAATACCCTACGCCGCCAGTTAGTTCGAAACCGTCTCTATGATCGTTTGTGCAGCTCAGAAAACTGTATGATCTGCCCTAACGGGAGAGACGGGGATTGCATGAGTTTAGGTATAATATACTTGATCTCATGTAATGCATGCGGCGAGGAATATATCGGGGAAACGAGTAGACCACTTTGTGTTCGCATAAAAGAACATCTAGATGGGAAAGCTAAAATCCGTTTAAACACCCCTCTAGGTACGCATAGGGCACAAAAGCACAACGGCGATGATTTTGAAGTGAATGTGCGGATCCTAGCGCAGGAATCAAAAACATCAACGCGCAAAACTCTTGAGGCGTTTTGGATAAATTTCAAAAATCCAAAGATGAACCGGAAGGACGAATGCCTCACTATCACACGTGACCTGGCGCCCTATTTCAAAATGATATTTTGACCCCGGGGCGTGTCTTACTCGCGACTCCACGTGAACTACGTGTGGGCCAGTCCCGCACGTAACATCACGGTGAGTGGCCTTTCTGTTCAATATGGCGTCTATTTGAAAGTTCGATCTTCATTAATACTTTAACCTTCTTTTCCACCGAATAATAAAAAGTATTCTAACATAAAGTACGTCCAGGCTCTGAGGAAGGCGAAGTCGCCGAAACGTCAGCCATCGTTCAATAACGTCAAAAACAACGACAACGACAACGACAACGAAGATCTGTACCAACCTCGCGTCAGCTAAGAAGATCAGTTTACAAGCACAGAGAACAATCTCAAGCTTCGATTATAACTATTTTTATAACTGTTTATAGCAATAACAACAATATAATATATACAATATGACGACGGCTAGTGGAGCGAACAAGAACGTGCGAAACTGAGACAAGAATGAGTGGAACACTGGAAAGAAACTGGGTAAACAATAGAACACTAGAGGGACACTAGGGGACCGAGCCACCTAAATGAGGAGACAGTGGAGCACTGGACTGCAACACAAACAGTGAAACACAGGCACTGAAACACCGGCACTGTTTTGATTACTAACAATGCTCCTTAGATTCCTTATATTCCTTTTGCAATGGGTGAGGCTTTGACAGAGAAACTAGAGAGAGCGCTCAAAGAGAGGTTCTGAAACATTTTCAGCCAGTTCAATCTGATAGAGCTACTTGAAGAGAAGCTTCGTGAAGTCTATACAATAGCTTATATAGGAAGTGGATGTGACAGCGATGCAGTGGCTCGTACGAAAAGTTGGTTGCAGCGGTTGATGCTAGAAGCTAACATGCAGCTAACAACTGCTCACTCAGTGCCCAAACTGTCGGACAAAGAAGAGCGGTTTGTAAAAAAAAAGCTACAGAATCCATCTCCACCCGGCTGCGGGGCAAGTGCATGAGATGGCCGCTAAGAGACGATTTACAGAAAATGACAGGATAGATTTAAGATAGTTACAAGTAAACAGTTAATATAGAAGAGATATGCTAATGTATAGAATAGGAACTACTTGAGGAATATTGTGAAATATAACTTCAATAATGCTGAGATATTTGCAAAACTCCGGACCGCAGGTGTACGCGGTGGGGAACGAACGCGCTATTGTCGTTTCCGGGGAGTAACGCATTCACCACCACACCATGCGGGTCCTTCGCTCCGCCTTCCTCTCAGCTAGTTCTATCGATTTCGGCCATATTTGAGAAACACTTACTACAGCTAAAGATCATATATTGTGAGAATCCCAACATACGTTTCGTTTCCTCGCACCCATCATCCACGCAAATTTTCGGACTCGCGTGGGCACTGCTTGACGATTTTCGATTTCTGAATGCCGTTTGATTCTGGTGTACTCGCCTCTCCCCGAAATCCTGAAATAGCCGGATTAGTGTTTTGCAGGGCTTACACCAAAGGATGTCCTATTGTGGATCTAGCAGACTCCCACAAAATCTAGTATCAAATTTCTAACTCTGGAAGAATGGAGGATTTGATGAGCTCAGAATGAGATTGAACCAAAATGAGGAAAGCCGAAGAAATGAATACTTACCAAATAAGTATATCCACCTACCATTAGGAAATCTATCCTTTTTGCTATTTTTGTATCTTGTGCCTTTGTCAAACGGATTTTTTCTCTTCTCTACTCTGAAGAAATCATGCGTGACTCCTAGAAAACCAGAAGACACTGGGTCGAGATGGCGCCGTTCCCTCACTAAACCGGCCTCGACGACGAACGGCCGCCACCGACCCCGGCCGTCCGTCCGCTTGTAGCGCTATGGAGTGCATGGAAACCGGACGGAGCTATCAGTGGCGGCGGCGGTGGCGACGACGAAGGACTGGTGATGGATGATGACGCGGATGCGGAGAAATCGATGTGTCCGTCCAGTCCACGATCTATGATGTACAATTAGAGAAACAGAAAACGCCGCGATAAATGTGCTGATACTTGAGCTTGACGGACGGAATCAATACACACTAATGTTACAAGGAGATAGTAAGAATATCGTTGCTCCATTAACTTGCTCATCCAGCTATGGGCGGAGTTATAGAACTCGTTTCTTTTTTCTAGCATTCTTTCGTTGTTCCTTAGCAGGCATTGATTAATTTCTGAGGGATGAGTCATGCATTCAACTTCCAAAAGTATCGTGATTGAATGAATATCTGTTCTCTACAATGATTCTCAGTGGCCTACCAATGTATAAAATCAGTGTTTTTATCCACTGAAACAACTCTGATGCCAATTTGCCAACCATGGAGGGATGCAGGATTTGCTTACCACGGAGCGCGGAATCGAACCAAAGACCACGTTTGCATTTCAGGACACCACTAACTACGGCTCTACGTGCACCCTCGTTTACTCTACATATCTGGTCTGATGGTGTCAGCGTAGACCAACAAAATTCTTAAAGTATTCATGATATTTTAAGGAAATATGTATAGCAGTCTATGACTTTCAAGTTGACCTTCTTTCAGTAAGCTGTGGCACTTTCGATTTTTTTCACTCATTATCTCATCCTTCTATATCAACACAAACGAGGATCGCCTATCATCTCAGCCCAGCGAATTATCGTCCAAACTCGGTTTTTTTCTTATTTGGCGATTTTTTGTCCAAACTTCACACCCGTCCAAGCGTTCGAAACCCGTTGCTTTTAAGTTTCGACAATTTACTAATATTTACTCATTTTATTATAACACTTCAACGATTCAACACATCTGTATTCATGTCCTAATTTCTAATCCCTTTGTTTCGTTTTCCCTGAAAGCATTTCATCCGTGCTATCCCCACTTTAGTAAATCGATTCTCCATTCCGTAGAACTGGATCTACCTCGGTCCACTCGCATACGATAACTTTCATTCACAGAGCACTTTGCTACACTGTTCTACGCACATACCTCTTCAGTCTAATACCATATATTTATGATGATAAGCATTCATTTAAACTCATTTCACACATTTGTTTCCCTGTACAGTTTTCTGCCTACTTTTTACATTCCCTAGCCCCAAACTTGACAACACATAAAGAAGGAAGACTTGTTGCATATTTGTATCCGTCCTGTCGTTTGTGCTAAATAATTTATCAAAATGTTTCCACTGAACGAGCATAGACTCATGAGTCCCTCGATGATTTCGTTCTGCAACGGACGTATGTGCGTGGAGTCCAGTGCCACTTCGGTGCACGGCGAAATATCAAGCGTACATTACTTAGAATGAAATCCACTAGAATCTACTTGACCTTTCCCTACAACACACAAACTACTTTATCTTAGCAAGACGAAATCCTAATTTTCGCGAGCCTATTACACTCACTTCAGTTTTGAGTTAAAACTCGTGAAAGCAATTAAACGAAGGACGTTTCGTACAGGACATGATGGCGTTTTCATTGCATCGATTACACTTACAGCCGATGCGCTTGAGTCGGAAATTTTTAAAACGCAAATCCATAGCTCTCATTCTTTCATCCTAAAATCGTAGTTCTAAACACATTTTTAAACTAGTGCCTAGAAATTATGTATGTCAACAAGATTATAGGGTGAACTCTCTGCTACAAATCTACAATATTGTGCTACTCTGCGGACTTTTCGCACTACCACTGACGCCCATGTGGAACCACCACCCGAGAGATATATAGGGGCAGAAAATCTGGTGTTCCGCCGCTTCACTGAGAACTGCACATGATGACATACATAGAGCTTCTATACTTCTATAAATTTATAGTTCTGAGCATAATGGTTTCGCATATCTTACAGCTTGCGAGAAGAACGGCAAAATATCAAACAAAGAAAAATCGGTGACAAATTTGATACAAAATAAAAACCAGCAAAAGTTCGAAAAGTCGATAAATACAGAGAATGTTAGAAAGCCGACATAGCGGGAAAGCGGTAATGAATATTAGTAAAAGGTCGTATTACGAAAGTAAAGTTCGAGGAAGAACAAAATAAACAGACATACATTTATGATAGTATATACCTGTGTGCAAATAAGGAGAAGTAATAATGAAATCACGCTCAACAAGTTTCGCAACTGACACAATGGCGTGACATCGCTACAGACCGGACAGAACCGTAAGAAACGAGAAAAATTACTACAGACACTATCTACAACACTCTTCATTGGGTGACTAATGGCCTAAAGAAATCAAATCTATGCACGACAATTGGTGCAGAAAAACTAACACCTATCACCTGCTAAAGATTAAGCACATGTTAATGAGACGCGACACTATGTAACTCTCAACAACTTATCAGAACATAAGAACACACGTATAGAAGTAGTAAACCTACGATGTAAGAGGTCTTGAAGACTCATCAGGTGTTAGAACGACAAACAAAAATAATGCCTGACGAGTCGTTATTGACTCATAAAGCTGTGGAGAATAATACTGGAGGTAGCTGGATGGAAAGTCGCCCGGTGGGAAAACATGCACTAAACACCCTGTAGTAGTTTCCTGTAAGAAAAACCATCAATAATTGTACTACACATAAGCGACAAAGGTTAGTGTAGACGCCTACCGTTTGCGGCATAACAGCAATTCCAGCAGCTTGTTTGCTGGCAAAGTACTCAATGAAAGCTGTTCGAAATATGTCCGAATTTGTGATTATTTCGTCACGAGAAGGCCCGCAAGGTAGGCAAATCATGCACGCGAAGCGACCCGCATCCGACATTTTTGCAACCATTCCTGCAACTGAAATATTAGCTCGATTTGCGTTAGTTAAAAAAAAAAAACTAAGAAGCCCTTCTAGATCCTTGAGCGTCCACTTTACATAGCTACATCCCACGGAATCATTTCGCAATCACTACATGACGATTTCCTCCAGGATTCACCATCATCCTTGTATCAAACCAGTCACACAGTGGCAAATTTTCCTCTTATCCACAAGGGTGACAACTGCCTGTGTTTGTGACAACCTGGGGCAAACTTTGGCCAGGCTGACCTCGGGACTTCAAGAAAACATAATAGCTAAGCCAGCAAAACTCCGATCAATGAAGATTATGCTGGAGTATGCACAGCCAGTGATGACGTGCCATCCAAGTATCCAAGTAAGTAAATGACGATTTCATAGAGTGAAAATCACGGTTTTGTCGCTACGATGCTTCGGAGTACAGCTAAGCAGTCTCATCAGTACTAACACACACCAGTGCACTATCAACGATAAAGAAATGTAATTTGCAACTGGAAAGTGAAAGCTCTTACTATAATATTACAACCAAGTCAAAACCAAGAACACAAAATAAAAGCAGTGCACAACAAGAACTACCTATAGCTAAGGATGAAATCCACCCTGAGAGTTTGAGAACAATGGTCTCCTACATCACAGTAGTACGCCATAACTTATCGCTTATCGAATATTCCAAAATCTAACAAAATTGCTCTATTATAGTTGCTTTTCGCATCGAGTACAACCTCTTCTCCTTCATAATAAGTCGAACTACTGTTATTGATTGCGAAATAGGTATGTTACTATACAGCACACTTTGTTCAATTGCTTGAAGGTCGTTTCGAAAAGCAAACACGATATCGATCAGTGGGGCGACAAAGCCAGACAGCAGTCGTAGGAAAGTGCCCTGCAGTTTGTCTACTTAACTTTGCATTTTATCTTCCGATTCACAAAGAGCGAAATAGACTCTGGTGAAATGGCGAAAGAAAAGCGCAAATGTTACGGTCTCCCCATAGGGTAGTGTACCTGAAAACAAACATCTAGTCATGTTAAATGACACTCACCTTGAACCTGGGCATGCTCGAGACGCATTCGTTGGTTCACGCGAATAACGACAGCATTCTTTGCATCAGCATTAGCATCACCAAGACAACGCATGAGCATTTCCACTGAACCGTATACCAAATGCATCTGCACTGTGGTCTCCGAATGTTTCATTGCCAGTGTTCCTTGCCATACAACAGGGAAACGCTATAAAGAATTACAACTAATAGCAATGAAAAAAAAGCGTAAGTCCAACAACAACAGCCAACATCAACGTTGTGGACAGCTTTCTGCTCTGCTGGACAAGATTTCGTTTGTTTAGTTACTTAACTATTAGAAATAGGCGTCACTACAAAAAAGAACATGTTTTATGGGTTCACGTAAGAACTCCATGGCTACAAAGTAAGGAAACTTCTTCCAAACTGGTAAAGATCGGTAGACTCTAATGGATTCAATTCACCGAATGTTTAAGGTTAATATGGTGAGCCATTTTTGTACTGGGTCCTAAGTGTTAACCAAACCCTTGGTAATCATTGTTGTTCGCTCACTTTTTGAATATGTAACATTCACTTAACATCAGATACTTATAAATATTAAGACTAAGTAAACTACCATTAGTGAACCACATGAATTTAGATCACTCCACAGATCGAGATCAATTTATAAACAGAATTAAGTATAAAATAACATTTAGACAATATACCTTCAGTTGCTCTTCTCTTGTGAGGGTTTTTTCATTACTCAAATTGTCCCGATCGGCTTCGCGATGCGAAATAGCTAAGTCGTGTAACTGATTGATTATTTCCTGAGAGATCGGCGCAACCTCCGTTTCAGAACCTCGCGGTGAACTGCTGGCAGGTGACACCGACGTGGACCATGCGAGAGGACTGTCCAATACTAAGACTTCATGTGAAGTAGAATCTAAGTTATGCGGTCGACCGCTTACTTTACGAAACGCAGACCCGAGTGATGCAATTCCACCTTCTTTTTTGATGGATGGACGACTAGCAATAATTGATAAAATCTCATCTATTGATAGTTTCCGTCCAACAGGTAAGCAAGGACTCATACTTCCATATGCCCTATTGTCTTCTGGTGACGAAGCTGGTGATTCGGTCTTTTGATCAGACTTTACATCATCCTCATATATGTTGTAGATTTCTTCATTCAGAATCCTATTTAAACAACGTTCCATGTCATCCTTAGACACTGGAACATGAGGAAAGGAAAATCGCCCAGATTTCCTCTGAGCATTTAGTGCACTAGTGTCTGAATAAACACGTTTTCGTAACTCAACAACGTGACTGGAAATCTCTGTTGATGGGAACGAACGTTTGCGATCATTTTGCTGGCTGCTTTCGCTCCCAGTAGTCCGTATTAGTGATGTCTGCACAGCGGCCAATTGGGGATTAACATTTGGAGCCTGACTTCTGCCGAATACTGCGTACTTCTGAAAAAGTGCAGCCTTCTGTAAACTTGTCAGAGATTGAGTAGTCACATCGGGATGAGAAGTAATCTGTGACAAAAGTTCAGATGCCGAATTCGATGCGGACGGACGCTCAACGTTATTTTCCGTCGCGTTAACAAGGTTCATACCCAACACCATCTTGGCAGCATTTACCAGTAACGGATTTTGAGCAGCTAAGTGAGTATTTGTTAAAAAGCCTCCAATTGTAGCCTGCTGATTGATGGCAAGCAGACTATTCATTGCAATGGCACCAGCTAAATTCAGAATGTTACTGGCATGTTCGCTGATACCTTGTGCATCGCCTGTCAACGAAATCGTCGACGAAGGATTCATTGTTTCTTCGGGGGACGAAATACAGAACGATGAGAGATGCTGAGGTTCCGCTGCTTTTCTACTTCGCTTTACACCAATCTCTGTTGCGCGAGGCTGCGAACTGTTAGAGCTCATCCAATAACTACGAAGAAATTTACGCAGCGAAGATGTGAGAAAATGCTGATGATGAACAGCGGTAAAGGGAAAAGATTGGAAAACTGTGCTTCTTTGGATATACTGGCTTTAAAACACTACAAACTCCAGCGAGATCGATGATATTATAAGGAAGGCAACAGTGTTACACAGACGAAGACGATGAAACGGGGGGAAAACAGAGTGCAGAAAGAAAGTAGTACAAATAAGTTGTTGACGAAATAACTTCCTGATTCGAATACCTGATGCTGGGGGTTCGGGTCCTTTACACAGAACCTAAACCAGATGAGGTAGCTAGAGTGGAGGTATTGTTCAAGTGAGGTAGTGGTAGTAGTTGTACAAGTAGTACGACTAGGTTCAGGTCATTTGAGGCGTATCATCACCTCCATAGTAGAGAAATACAGCAGCAAAAGTGATGCGAAACAGTTAAAGACGACGACAACGACGACGACGACTTTTGGGGATGATCGTACGTTCGCCAGCACACACCGATCGCACAGCTTTCCGTTCGTTCAGCGAGCAAATAATTCACAGAGATAGTACGAGCGAATGTGAGTAACACCACACCACCCTGCTTCCTAGTGCCGTCCGTCACTGGCTAGACGCGATCGCGCCGATAGTGTGGGTGTGGGTGTGTGTGCAGCGCGGAGAGTAGCCAAGTCCAGCGAGAGAGCAGACGACGAGCGCGGCGCCTGAATTTGATCTAGCAGGGCGCGCGCACGCGGCGCGGCAATTGCAGTGCACTACGGGCGTGAGGCGGTCGCGATGCGGTCACCACACACAGGCCGGGTGGACGGAGACGGTTGGACTCATAGACAGCGTTCGAACGGAGTTCGTCGTGCCAGTCACTGCTAGCGCGTCGACCGACCACTCCGACCGACTGCGTAGCAGGATTTCTAGACAACGAACTGAATACGTATCGAAAACGGTCGCTCGTACCAGCCACAACAAAATTCCCAACAATTACTGTTCGTGTGAGCTCAAAGTCATCGCTGACACCGCACGCTCACACATCAGAAGGAATCTAACCTCATCGTTACAGTACATTTCGCCGCGAACTTTAACACTGACATTTCCCCGATATCAGTGGTCCTTCGACGAAACGTTGTGGGTCCCATTGTGATGAGTACCATGTACGCAACATGTTCGTGAACCCAAAATCGCAATGTGTACATGGGAATACAATGAAGTTGTTATAGGATTGCTTAAGAGGCCTGAGAAAAGTATGTAAACAATTTCCATACCTTACCATCGATCTGGGTTTCGCTAGCAATACCTGTCTGCTGTGTCTTTGTGAACTGTGCTTTTATGTAGAATTTGCTCATGACATTACTGCATCAACTCGAAAACATACACGAGTTACGGATGACAACAAACGTAGAACCCGTAAGATAACACCTGCCTATTTGTACTCATCTTAAAATTTACGCTTAGTATTTTGCCCCCATGGGACTATAACAATATTTGTTGAGTTCTATTAGCACGTTGTTATCACACCTAATTTTCGTTCGAAAACACGTCAGATTATGACTATTCATCGTCGATTGCAACGCGCATTGAATACAATGCGTATTGCTCGTTTTGGCACCCAAAAAGACAATAGGCGTTTTTCTCATTAGTAGTAGACTTTCTGTTCATTTGTTGACAAGTAAAGCAGAGTCGCCACAGGTCTCATATGTCCGCCCATCCACTTATTTTTCATATTCGTTCAAGAGAGACTTCTTAAATACGCTCCTTAACCCACAACGGCCCAACGCCGTTTCTCGTGGCTGCTCAATCGAATACGAGCAATTTCTTGTCGGCAGCGGACCTTCCAGTTTTTTTTGACAACGGAAAGCAGTTTTTTAAAAAATAGAGCATTTGGAGTTATGAACATGACAGGACTGCAGAGGAGAATACATGGGTATGATGCGTATCTCACTATTCACCATCTGTTACTATGGTCCATTATGCAAATATATTGCTGTCGACTGTTTGGGAGTACTTTCCAGCTTATGCCAAGTCTATTTCGCTATTTTTATACCCGCACATTTCATACAATAACCATAACGATTAGAATGAGATAATACTTAATTGTTAGTCAGATCATCAGCCAATAAACTTTTCCGAAGAGACTTTTTGCAAGTTGAGGAATCCTTGAAATTGACGTGGCAAATAGACATTTCGAATGACTACGAAACTGTAGCTCCTCGGGATAGGCATAAAGGAAAGACTACTCCCCGAAACGATAATTCTGACCAGAACAAGAGTCTGTGCATCTAGCCCTTCGTTTCGAATGAAATAATTGTATGTAGTTCCTCTAGTCTCACTCCTCCTTTTACGATTTCCTATAGATTGGCTATTCATAATGAATGTGCATAGTGCGGCCAGTAAACTGAATATGTGGATGCTACAGTGCCCACACGGTCATTTGGTCCACACCGCTATGGACCTTATAGTGTAAAAACGAGGCGTTATGGGTTAATTCTTATTATGTTACCAGAGATATTCTTAATACTCTTAAAAACACCAACAGCAGTTTTTAATGGGACAAACAAAACCGTATGATCTTCTTTACAAACGGCTAAGTGCGCAGAAAAGCTTTTCATGCATCACGTCTAGGAGGCAGGCCAGGTGTTCAATAAGGTACCGATTGAATACAAAAATATAACAGAAAACTCTGTCTGAAAACAAGCAACTAGAAGGGAAATGCATCTAAGTTGACGAATACTGTCCAATCCGCCTATGTATAATCTATAGGAAACAACATAAATAGTCGCTAATATACCAAACTAAATATATAACCATAGTCTGCAAACAAACCTTAGCAACATCAGCAGAATGTCCAGATGACGATACCCCCGATGGAGATGGTATAGCAGTTGATGACGAAGAGAGCATCGTTTGAGTGGCATTTTCTAGCGGATGTAACTGCGATGGCACTGCTATACTTTTTCGTTCTTGTGAAATCGTACCAGCAAAAACAGAGCCCGACGGCTGACAAACCGACGGAGAAGTCTTTAACACAAACATTCTCGATAACGTAGAAAGAAATTGCATGCAAAAATAAGATCACACGCCACCTGCGCTGCATTCTGTTGCGAAAGAAGCTGTTGCTGAGTGAGACGGTATGCGTAGAGGGCAGCAGCCTGCTGTTGCTGTGTTGATTGCGCATGATGTTGATGGAGAGCGTCACGCTCACGGATTGCTCTCAATTGTGATTCCTTGATCAAGCGTTCACGCTCCTGCTGTATAGGCTGTGGAGATGGAGAAGCCGTCGATGACGCTTCTTGTTGTGCCTTTAATAGTTACTGTTAAAAAGATACGAGATTTTGTCACTGTACATGATCTGCTACTATTTCGTAAGCACCTTTATCTGTTGCCTTTGCAATTCGATTAAGAACTGCTGCGCTTGAGATGTTGGCAATTGCTGCAATGCTTGTATCTGAGCCAAAAGCGCTGTTGCTACTGGTTGGCCAAACGTTTGTGACACTGGAAAATCATTAGTTTGAAATACAACAAAGGATTAAATGACAAACAAGATCCACCACTCACTCTGTTGAAAATATCCTATTGAATCCCTTGAAGCCATCTGAATCATCTGCATTTGTTGTAATTGCAGTTTCAATGTTTGAGCAGCCAGTGCAGCTTGTTGGCTAACTGGAGTAGCTGGATGTGGAGCTGGTGACTGAGCTGTAGCCGGTGTTTGCGATTTCACAACTCGTGAAGTTGTAACAGTTTCCTTTTGATGTTGTTGTTGCTGTTGTTGTTGTTGGTGTTGAAATATTTGCTGCTGAAGTTGTTGTTGAATCTCTCGCTCACGATGCTGTTGCAAATCCCTTTCTTTCTGAAAAGTTATCTCCCGATCTCGCTCACGTTCCCGCTGTTGCTGAATTTCTAGTTGCTGTTGTGCCAAAATTTGCTGTTGCTGTTGTTGTAGAGCCATTTGTTGAGCGGCTAGCTGTTGTTGAAACAAATGCTGTTGCGACAGTGGACGCGGCTGAGCTTGCGCCTGTTGATATGTTTGCTGCTGTTGCAACACACTCGAATTTGTAAACGAGGGTTGTTGGAAACGGTTGTACATTTGATGTATACCACCCTGAGACACGACCGATGTGCCTAGAGATATAGCTCCCGGAACAGGTGATGAACTTGAGAGAACGGACACGTTTACAGATGACGAAACAGGAGATTCTTTCAGTGGATGCATAGCCGATGGTTGTACAAAAGTCCCATGCTCAGCGTTAATCGATGTTTTGGGCGACAGTAATGGAGTAGAAACTTTCCGATCCGGAATTGCAACAGTAGTCGACGAAATTCCGTCACAGCCAAAAGGCTGAGATATGCTGCATGAAGATTTATGCTCTTTCAAGGTATCTGAACATGGAACCACTACAATATCATCGTCATCATCAAGCTGAACCACGTTTGACGAAAGCTCAGTCGATGGCCGTTCTTTGACACTGCACGGCGCTTCCAATTTCTCAATGGCGAGTTTTTCTTCTAAAATAGGTTCCTCCACAAAGGATTCCCGCAGTAGTTGTTCCTAAAGAACAGTATGTTTGTACTAACAACATTATTTCTTATTGAAAATGAAAAGCCTACATCAGATACATCACCCGAGGCGACGTTGGCGTTTTCTCCACCATCAACATCTGAGATAGCATCGGTCTCTCTAGTAGTTCCTTCGTTGGTAGCACTAACGCTAGTAGAAGTTAAGCCCGCCTCACCAACACTGGTCAATCCAGTTGAAGCAACCACAGCTCCATTTTTACCCGGAACGAACACAAGTGTGGGATATTGTGGTTCTTCTTCTTCATCATCACCATCAAAGATGGACTTAACAGCATCTTCGGTCTCCTGAAGATCGTTTACCATAACGATTAGTAAAAAACTATATGGTGGATAGTAATGAATAGTGCATAGCAATACGGAAAGTTTTCTATATACGGTTCCCAAGTACAAGGCACTGCACACGACTCATTCTTTTAAACTACTTCTAAAGAACACTCAACACAATACCGTAATATCTCACCTGTACATCGGAAATGCTATTTGCAGCTTTTCCTGGTTCTCCATTCACTGCAGTCTGCTCAAATGTGCATGTCATTTCTGTCGCAGTAGGTGAAACAAGTACTTTATGTTCGTTTTGCAAATGTGCGCAGCAACCCACAAGATCCACATCTTTACACTTTGATGAAACGATAGAATTACGAGAAGATGAATCCTCATTTAGGCCCACTTCATCAAAAGCAGTGACATCGCCAACGTTCGGTGCAGATGACTCATATACGCTTGCATAGCCAGCTGCAGCGTCAACTAGTTCAACAGCATGATGTCGAGAACGTTGTGAATCGGAATCTGATTCGGTGGCATCTTCGGGTTCTGTTGTCGCCGAGCTGGAGGTGCTCACTCGTCGTACGGGCACATGCGAAGCGATAGAAGCGCACTGTTGTCCACTGTTTGACTCAGACACAGTGCTAGCGAAGACATCATCGTAATCTGTTGAGTTGTCCGAATCCGCTTCAGTCGATGGCTGAAGCACACCACGGCACATGACAACAACAATGTCACATATACATACACAAGAAACAAGGAAAACAAGGTTTCATGCTCTTCTCACAGATAAGTCGGTCGAACAAATTAATGATTCAGTGGTTTTATTGTTAAACATCATCCAATGTGATGTATTGCGAAATATGGTAAATACTCTAGAAGAATGGTAATATGCCAACCCAATTTCATTACGACACAATGAGGGGGGAGGGGCGGAAGGTGGGATTGGGGGAGGTTTCAAGATTAAAATCATACCTGAGTAGTAGAAACAGTGGACGTCGCAACAGCTGACTGACTTGGCACGAATATTTTCATTGCAGCTTTTGTGAGGAGTTTTGGACGACTTATCTGCTCACTTATCAAAGATGTCGGCAAATTTGTAGGCGTAGACGTAGTTTTTGCATCCATTTCTGATGAAGCTTGCTGAAAAATCTGCCAACTTCCTGACCTATGCAAAAAACACCCCAAAAGCACTAAGCACAAAATCACGAATACGAAACGCTACCAATTTCTTTTCCTCCTCCAGGTCATCTTCACATCTGACGCGGTGTTTTAAAGGTGTTTCCGCCAAGTTATTATCTCCAGACTTATCGTCTAATACCTCATCTTTAACATTTGCGAGGTCCACCTTCCCATCTACAATGCATTTAATCTTATTTTCTTCACTTTTCTGTGAAGCATTCTGCGATTCTTCTTCAGAAGCACTCGTTCCACCTGATTGATGACACTTTTTCTGACGCTTAGCCGGCTTGATATCTAAAAACATCCTTGTTTGAATTTGTATGCTCATTGTCAGAAATAAGGAACAAGCTCATAAACTAACCATGAACGTCGTTTTTACGTTTGGCTATATCTTTTTTACAGTCCTTCATTTCTTCTTCAGCATGATGTTTTTTATCCATTTTATCTTTATCTCTTTTTCGACCCTTTTCCGGTTTATCTGGTCCAAAGATAGATTGGAAATCAAGTCTTTCGGATTTGCCGGGTTTCTTTTTCGGTACTTCGTCTTCATCGGATGACTCCTGAGTAGAAAAAACACCTTTGTTTCTTTTTTGCTTAAAAATTTACTTCCCTACTTCTCACCTTTCTCGATTTTTTTCTCTTCTTATCTATTTCTTCGGGCCCTACAATTACCTCGTCATCCGTACTATCGACACCAAATACGTCATCCATATTAACATTCTTGCCCTGAAAAAAAGCGAATCTGTGTCACCAAAATAGAAAGCTATTTTTCACCGAAACATACATGCTTCTGTTTCTCTGCCGTCTTCTTTATTGTCTTTCGATGTTTCTTCTGATTTCCACTATCAGATTCTCCAGATTCATCGGTAGACCACTCATGCTTCCTTTTATACTCCTATAATTCCATTAATGTATTCGTGCGATGATGTTGGCTCATCGACAACTACCGACAATTCTTCCATAACTAGAATACCTCCAAAGATCTGACAAACAAAAAGAGAGTTTGCCCTATCGTTCTAAGAAAATGACTAATTCTCTTAAGTGCTATCTTCACCATAAATTTGTTTAATGATTCCCAGGATCGACTTTCTGTTAACCTCGGCATTGGAATATGAATGTGTCGTTTTCTTGTTCAGCAATCGCGAGTTTTTTAAACAGCATACATTTGCATTCTTCTATGGAAGTAAATGTATGCTGTTTAAAAACCTCGCGATTGCTGAACAAGAAAACAACACATTTGTTTTATGACTCAATTTTCTAACAAAGCTCTGATAGGAGTTGTTAATGCAAATATAAACGTTTCACATAAGGACATCATCGTATCATTCTCAATGTCTGAAATTTCGTTTGTTCACTTACTTAGGTGTTCGACGTAGCAGCCTCGATAAATAAGGAAAAAAATTGTAGGCTACAGAAAATCAAAATTTCCTCGCGTTAGAAAACATGCACTTTGGCTGTTTTTAAACTGGCTAAACTGTTCTAAACCACTAATGAACCTCTTCATGTCATTTTTCTTGATAAAATTTTGTGCCATCGTGTATCAACGCAAAAGATATACGGCGAAAAATATCTTCCATTCAAACAAACAGCAATTAGTTCTTGACGAACCCACCTCATTTTCACTACTATCCACGTTCTGGTTTTCATCTCTCTGAATCACTTGGTTGTCGTCCTCAGACGAAACATCTATTTCAGAATCTACAACTTTCCGCATGGAGATATTGCCTTCATGCTCTTCCTCATCTGACGAATCTAACTGGATGCGATGCCGCTGAAAAAAATGACATTTTTCAATGTTCGAATGTCACAATGGTGTTAAACACCCACCTTCAGACTCTTTTTTTCGTTGTTTTTGTCCCGTAACTTTTGAAGGGCAGCAGATTTCTTTGTTCGTTCATCCTTATTTGCAGCAGAGCTGCGTCTCTTCACCCGGTCGTACATCGAAAGACCACCACTAGCACCGGCACAGCTCGATCCACTGTCTTCGGCAACAAGATGAGCCATTTGCTTACTGAACGCTTTCTGAAAAACATTTAGATAAAGATTAATAGCAAAACAATGAAATCTCTACCTACCTGGTAGTCGCTATCCTCACTGGAGCTATCGTCATCAGAAGAACTTGCCCTTGACTTTTTCTTTTGTTTCTTAGACTTTTTCTCTCGTTGTCGCTCTTTTTCAACTTTTCTTGCTCTTCTCTCTTTCTTCTCTTTTTCCTCATCTTTGGACTTTTTGCGTTCTTCTTTCATCTGAATAAAGAACGAGTGACACTAGCTATTAAGAAGTGGCACATGAACTTAAATGGTACGAAGTTGATCACTATCCTAAATCTATAGGAAAATAGTGATGAGCATGCTTAGCTCCTTACCTTCTTCTCTCGCTTTTGATCTTTGACTTTTTCTCGTTCTCGCTTCGCTCTTTCAGCGTCCTTCCGCTTGGCGCGTTCTTCCTTAGTTTCGAACAAACCCTCTTTCTTTCTATTCTAAATTTGAAGCTGTTTTACAACGTTCCGAAGGAATATCGAAATACTATGGAAAAACTGTCTTAAGAAAAAAAAACTTTTCAATGAAGCAAATCACCAGTTTGTGTTCCTTTTCCTTTCTATAATGATCCTGCGCTGAAGAAATCTTCCTCAACTGTTCCTGGTTCGCATGATCTTTTTCAGCATGAGTCGAACTAGCAGAAGGTTTCTTCTCGATTTTTGGAAGTTTCCGAAAGTCTGTTGTTGGAGGTTTATTGTGGAATAGCTCGGCAAGAAGTTCAGTTGAGGGATCCTGAGTGGAGTATTTAATGAGCCGACTTAACAGCACGATTTCAGTTCAATTGTTTTACTGTAAGGAAATCACATACCTTGTGCGCAATCGGCGCAACTCCACATTTACGATTTTCAGAGGTAGACAATGGCTTTGCAGCTAACGTTGAACCATAAACTGGTGATTTTATTGCAGACACACCATCATGACGTGGTGTCAAATGCTGAAAAACAGAAAACATAAATACCCTAGAATCAATCATTCTCAATAAGCTAAATTTCACCTTCTCGCCCGTTCGCTGTGGATTTGTTGTGGTTTTGTTATGCGAAAGAGTTTTAGGAGCTCCTGATGTGAGTGGCGTCGGCTGAGGAAAATGCGGTGCCAATGCCGTTATAACAGGCGATGGTTGAAAAGGACCAGGCACTCCATACAAAGTTGTCCGATGTGGCGTTTGAACAGCACTATCCTGGTGACAAACAGCGTCTTGTGATAACCGTGAATTTGAAACTCTGGTCGGACCGCTACACTTAAAAGCAAAACTGTTTCCCGATGTGACAGTTGGACTCTTCCATAATGAGTTATCTCGATGTGTTGTTGGTTCCTGAAAAAAGTAAACATGGCCGATGACGATGAAGTCAAGACAATTGTATTGAAAGCAAACCAGCACTGTAGGAGGAAGTTGTGGCGGAGGAGGTGGCGCAGAGATAATAGGTGATGTTTGCGAATCAGGAGTTGTTGAAGGAGCGTAGACAAAAGGCGGAGTAACTGGAAAATTTGGCGGTGGAACAGAGAAATTTGGAGGATATGCTATAACAGGAGCAGTTGGAGGTGCAGTCAAGCGAATTGGTGGAGTCGAAGAAGACGTAGGTAGCGCTGACGATGATGGTAATGGCGTAGATGCGGTAGTGCACGGAGTTCCACTCTTTCGCGATGACTGAATCAAAGTTACAGAATTAAAAAGACGGAGAATCACTAAGATAGACCAACCAGAGGTGAATCAAGTTTGTTAGAAGCTGGAGTTGTGGCAGTGCTCTGAGATCCGCTTCCCAGTTGAGGTATGGTGATAGAGAGAGCAGGAGCAGGACGCTGCAAGGTCGTATTTCTACTGAATCCGCTTGAAGAGAGACCGCTTCCGGAAGAAATTCCAGAGAAAGGAGTGACACTCAGTGGATCTGGTGCAGAAGCCTATAACGCCAAATTGTGAAAACCACTAAAATTATGTCTAAACTAAATAAAACTGGCAACCTTTGCAGCGAGAATACGCTCTTGTGTAATATTCAGAGTAAAGTCGTCAAAAGAAGATTTCTTCTTCTGATTTATGCTTCGCAAGCGTTCTTCAAATGAGTCGGTACGTGGTGTAACTCCTGAAACCCCAGACTGTCGTTGACGAGATGACGTTGGTGTCGTTTCTGTCGTAGACGTGGAAGGCCTGCGATGATGGTGCTCGTCAAGCTCAGCAACACCTCGATGTGCTTCTTCTAATGAAGCGTTTACGTCGGTAAGGCGTGAGCCAATCTCTGCCAGTCGCTAAAGAGGAAGAGCTAGATTTCTCATGAATTAAAAGAAAGCAAATTTCCACTGGAATAGAAGACCATTAAAAAACAAAACAAAACAAAACAAACCCCACTCCAACCGTCGGCTAAAATGGGTATGTCGTCGGGTTCACAAAGAAGATCCAGTGCCGAAGGAGGAGGTGGCGGAAGAGGAGCTGCATCAGGAGAAAGCTGTGCGTCGCTGTCTAGTACACCACTTGCACCGCTACTACTAGAACTCCGCGATACAGTCGCATGGTGCTGTGCATTAACATATCCAGAAATATGAGTGTGTAAATGAGGTCGTTCTGAAAAACAAAACTTCGTAGAGTATTAAACACTTTAGACATTTCGCATATATCTTGAAATCGGGAACTGACCGTCTGATGAAGTGACGTGAGATCGACAAACAGAAGTGATTCCAACATTACTGCTCGTACGATGTTGTGATAGTGACTGAACGCCATCCACACTAGCTGCACTTCCGGATGAGCGTTTCCTCCATTCCCCAGCCACTGATCGAGGATGGCGATCAGAGTTCCAGAAAGGTGGAAGTGGAAGATGAGACGAAACCACCCGACAATATTCACTGCGCGATAACCTTGGGTCGGGTAAGGAGACGTTTGCCTACATTTAATCACAATCGTTTAATAAATTTGCTGAAAATAAATAACACTCACAGTGTCGAAAAAAATGCAGGGATTTCGAAGCAGCTCATTCCATGGCCACTTTCCTGTTCGTGACTTCTGTGATGACGTTGAGGTCGAATGTGGACGAGTTACAGATGGTTGCGCATCAACCGAGTGCCTTTTTTGAGAACCAGGAGTGTTAAGGTTGCACGACGTAGCTGTCGACGGCCCTGGCCCAGAAGACAAAGAATGGTGACGATGCTGTGAAGAGACCGACTGAAAAAGGCTTGAAGATAATTTTGAAATGTGAAATACAATATAATACGACAAAATACAAAAAACACTATATAAAAATGTAAACAGTGAAAAAATATAAGCATAATACAGTTAAATATATAGTTTTATCCTTGTCATAGTGGTAACTAACTTGTGGTTCGTGACTGCAGTGATGATTTTGATGTTTAATGGAATGCGAGTCATGGTGTGAAGTAGACGGTGGTGAGACAAAAGCGGGAGTAGAACGTGACTGAGAACTGGTTCTAGGTGATGTCTTCCGCCTAACTGGAGGATCAGCAGGAGGTGGTGACGAATTCTGCGAGAGGACCTCCATTGGTGGTGGTTTAGGAGGTGGATCAAGGGGCGGTCGCGAAACATCGTCGTAGAACCTTTAAAGAAGCGTTAAGGAGTTTTCAGTTAGCTTCGTCTGATTTCCAACTTCAACCAAATCAGTACTGAAAAAATTAAACGAACAGTTATACAACATAGATTCACTCTCACCCACTGTCCCCGCTTTTGCGATCGTCAACAGTGGGAATAACTATGTCTGCAGCGCTCGAAACTACGGTGCCCGAAGACGGCATTTCCGGATGTATTCTTTCCTCCAAAGCCGACGAGCAATGTCTGATTGTTTTGCGATCCGCCCATCTCGAATTTTCAAATGGACTACGCCGAGTCGAAGACATATTTCGAGGTTTTCCTGAAAACAGTGTATTTTCTCAAAGACAACTGTAATGTATGCGAACATTTTTTGCAAAAGTGCTTCACCATTGACATTTCTATCGCAACGAATTTCACGTCTCTCATCACGACGCCTATCTTTGACCCGCTGACTATACGACAATGGACTCGAAGTCCGACTATCATTCGATCCAGAACGAAGCCTTGTTGGTGATGACTCCTCACTTGATGACGCTGACGATTCGGACGATGCACTGAAGCAAGAACTCTGACAACAACTACAGCTGACAAGAATAAACTGTACATTAATATTAGGAAAAACACATTATTCGGGCATCTCCGAACCATTTCAGATTCTTTTTGGAAGATTACTTTTCTGCATAAAACTGAATTGCTGCACTTTTTGTAATTATACATCACTTATTCAAAGTTGGCATTGTGGCGAATGTTGGCCGGAAAAGGTTACAATTCCGGACTTTAAAAACACAAAAAAAATTTCATCGAACAAGTTCATTGACCGGTAACTTGACTGGTAATTGACCATTATTTCAGTTCCAATCGCAATGAGGAATCATGGCTATCCTATAGAATGAGTGGGCATAAAAATGCAGGAACAGACCAGAAAGGTGTAAATCACTTCCTAATGCTGACAGCAAGGTGTTTGCAGAACGGACTAATAGTAATTTAAAACAAATAAAAACAACACACCACGAATACCTCAACTGAGCTAGAGTAAACTCTCCCACACAGTGCTACCATGTTTTCAACTCACCAACAATTATTCTAGGTGTTGGAAAATGATCGCCTGTTGTAGAAAAATAACCAAATTCACAACAAAAAGAAATTTGGTGTCAATACATTTCCCCGCAGTACAAAATTTGAGGTTACACCAATGGATTACAGCACATTGCTCCAACAGAATACCTAAGCTTGCGATCCTTCTCTTTTCTTCGAGATGATCCTTTATCGTAATCGTATTTTGATGATCTTCTATGCCTGGCTCGTTCCAGTGACCGCTCTCGACGTTTTGAGTGCGCAGGTGAACGACGCTGATCGCGATGATGTTCATAACGATAGCTAAATAACAATTGCGATAATATAATTTCAATAAGATAAGATTTTAACAGTAATGTATTTCCCAAACGGTTATATCCATACTAGTTACCGTTTAATTAAACATGAGTTTCAAAGCACTGATGCACCTGAAAACGAGGATGGTACTGACACAAAACCTTCAGGAATCCGCTATGAATCGAACTAATTTAAGCACCATTGATATGACTGAATACCTAATTGGTCTATAAAATGACTTTCGCAGTGGTGCCGAAATGTCGAGTTAATTTTCTTATAAACCCTTATAGTTGAGGCATCAATTTACCGAACCAGACATGATAACAGTCTTGCATAGCCAGGGTTTGGGACTGAGTTAACGACTCTGTGTAATCACGACGGGAAACGCTCCCAAGAAAATGAGAATGGGTAAGAAAACAGTCGAAAAGAACTAAAAGTGTGAAGCTTAACGAAACAACAAGGCACACTGGGACAATATAATAAATAAATAAGGCTCTCGGCGCTGATCAATCTCTGAGGGAAGCACCATGTCTTCGACTTCATTAAGTACCGCTGGAGGTGATCGAAGTGGTGGCCAACCGATGTATTAAGCCAGTGCTGCTATCCTTCCAGACATGGTAACAATTTGCCAATTCCGGTGGGATGGAAGGCTTGGTGAGCCACACGCGCGGGGATCGATCCCCTATGCATTGCACGACGCCTCCGACCACTGCACCACACGCGAGAGAATATAGTTAGTACTAAGATGTCGAAAAGGAACTTCAAATGAATCGCTGTGAAATTAATGCACTTTAACAACAAGTGTGAACAAGCAATCGTTGGACGAAAAATATAGATCTCAATAGTATGCTCATCCTGCGTTCGAGTGAGCTTGATAAGTTTATAAGAAAAGTTGAAGATTTTGAATTATAACACTTTTTTGTCTTAAAATACACTCAGTTAAAGGGAAGGAACTATAATAACGCACCTGATCATATCGCTAGGCGGATCCGGTGGAGGAGCGAGAAAAGCGGTTAACGAATCGTCAACTTGTATCGCAGGAGTACTGACGGCAATGTAATCAGCACTGGTAGTACAAGCAGTGGAAGAAACCTGGGTCTTCACTGGTACACCACCGTGTTTTCGGTCAATGAAGTGATCATGCAAACGATCAGAACAGAAATCCGCTGGCACACGTGCCTCACCACTTTCCACTTTGAACACACTGAAACATGAAAATGAAATTGGGACAACACAACAAACAGCAAAACAAGATACTACATGGCAAAAGGAAGCATTCACAGCTCATAACGTCTCAATTTCACGTTTTCTTCTTCTTCTTTTGAGACTTATTGATAGTTTAACACGTATGTGACCACTTTCGATATTCACTGCATGGAAAGATTCTGAACAAATCGTCGTTTGTCACGAACGGTACTGCAATGAATCTGTTCTGTTCGTTATGGTCCTCATACTGCTATTTGTGTGGTTCCCGATTCGACTACGAAAAAGGCTAAACTACAAGAAATAGTTGGTATGGATCCTTCACATAAACTACCGCGACTTTAGACTTTAAGGGCTGAAACAACGAAAAACAATGATTCATGGCAGTCTGTTGTGAATTCTTAAATAAATCACCATCATGAATACAAATGCCAAGGCTAAATGAAGGTCGGTACTGAAAATATGTAATAACATATATATGTGATGACGGTGGCTATTTTCCTGACAGAAGAAACACTACCAACTCGCGATAAAAGCCTCTACGCTCAAAATATCATTTCTACCAAGTTCAAATCTCCAAGGATTTTAACGCGATCGTAGCAGTCGTAAACACCAAAAAGGTATTCATGGAGATAACCGCGTTTTACTGAACAGAGCTGGAACTGTTCAAACTCTTTCACACCTTAGAATATAAACTACCTTTACCTTTTTACCTTTAGTAAGTAAGAAATTGAAATTGTAAACCTTAATTTGTAAAACATAAAAGGAAGAAACCTGCGGGTTGTAGACACCAGAATTTCTTACCTTTTTTTTTTACCTCGACTTCATTATCGGAGAGTGGTATAACTTACATTTTTGGCAAAAAAAGAAAACTCTACAACATAATCGGTTCCAATGAAATAACGAAGTTAGCTAGGAGACATGAATGCCTGAAGTCGAAATTGAAAGATTGAAATAAAACATACATTTTCGAATCACATTTGATTCATAATGTTGCAGAAATCGGAATATGATCATGGTAGAATAAAAAAAACTTACAAGGGACTTACAAATACGGTCTCAAAAAGTGAAAAACTATGGAGCAATCACAGGGATGCTGATATATGAGCAAAACACGTAGCCTTAGTTGTTGGGCTTCGAACCCACGATTATCGTTACCAGGTGGCCTGCAAAGCAACGGCCTCGGCTGGTGTGGCAGACGGAAAGTTAAAACATTGTGAGCTCGACTGCAACTTCATTAATTAGACTCAATGCCGATTTTTATTCCACAGATCATTCCCACTGATGTTTGTTGATAGCATAGATGGAAAACCAAGAGGAAGGAAGTTCTCGAAGCCCACCTTAGCGTTCGAGTTTTTGCTCAAATTTCAGTATACCTATGGTTGTACTTCACATCATATTCTGCCATGAAAAAAGACTACTGGTAAATAAAAAGTTAGGACTTTATGAAAGAACAGATATTTTCGAGTCATATATGACTCCTATAACTAGCATAGTGTTAACAGGAAAAAGCGGTAGACCCAATAGAGCGAAAATTTTTATCGAAACTTTATCCTGTTGTTCTTCAGCTTCCGAAGGTGTTTCAGTTCACCATCTCTGTATAACCGTACCTTTTTGACTCCAGCGTTAGTCTGCCATATCTTTGTCCAAAACTATATTTTCGAAATGAAATTTATGATTCGAAATATCGACTTCTAGCTAACCACGACATCTGTTAACTTGTATAATCTTACAAACTCTCCTCTTTTAAGCTGAGACGATGTTGTGAACACATTTCTCGATATTGGATGGCTAACGTTTCTGCCACATCACCTTCTTCATAGTGCAGACATATTGCTGTATAACCGTATTTTTATTGTTCGGTGAATATTCAGCAGTTTAATAAAACCTAATTTATAGATCAAACCAATATTTTCTTATTAAAAAAGACTCAATGTCTCCTTTAAGGATGCGACCATCCGTATGTGGCTCGCATACGATGAAGAATGAAACCCACTCAGATCATAAAATTAATCTGGGATAAAGCAATGAATCACGTTTGACAATGAGGCATTCATGCTCTTAATTCACTTCTTAACTTTTGAAGGTTACGAGTCAAGAATACTTTATGCGCACGTAAAGGAGTAGCTTAGCAGGTTTTAAACTTGCCACGCAGGTGTTTTTTATGAGGACACATTTTTCGGTCTACCCGTTCTGCCAACATGCCCATCACCGGATGTCTTACAACAGATCAGGTGTACTGCAGCAGAAGTTTGTAATCTCCGCCTCTGTTGTTAGAGCAAGTAAGGCAGTCTTCTATTTTAAATAGTCGGTCGTTTAGGACGCTTTGCATCGAATGACGACATAGAGTGCTCGGTGTAATCCCAATAACTCCTATCAGTTTTAGAACAGCACTTTTTGAGATTTAGTTTTTCTCTTAGACGTAACATCAGTGACAGTCATTTCGTAGCCATTTAAGATGGTTATCTGTCCTGCCAAAGATTCTTCTTCTGTGCACACGCCTGTAGCTGTTCGATACAGGTTTCCAACAAATGCTTTAACGTGTGTGAACTATGACAAGAGAGGCGGGACAGTAATATACTTTCATTATTTCGTTTTCTATCCCATTTTCCTATGTTTTCCATTTTCCTTTTCCTTTTTTTTCCTTTCCATTTTCCTTTCGGAAAGGTGTGTACGAATGTTTAATAATGGAAGCCAGATATCTTTAGGTTTTTTCTCTCGTGAACTTTACATACTCTGATTACTCATTCAATAATTCAAAACGTTTGTCCATATTCCTTTGGATGGCCTACCGAGTCAAAAGCTCATAACTCTTTTAAAAGAGTGTCTTAGCTATTCATTCTTTAGGTGGTCCTGGAGATATTACGCATAAATCATAGGACTAGCATTGTGAGAACGTTTAGCACCAAACCTTGCCACTGACTTTATGTTTGAGGTGGAAGCTGCAGTTCTCAACAACCGACCTTTACCATCGATACACAGCTGAGTATTTCGAGATCTGCGAGACACAAAAGGGATGTGGACAAGTGTTTTGAATTACTGTATGAATACACAAAGCACTTAATGTTTACGTTAGCCATCGAACGTATGAATATGTGTTAACAAATTCGTGCCATCTGTCAAAAGGACAAATCGTAAGTTCCTCGTTTTTTGTTGAGATTTTATTACTAACACCTCGCGTTTGCTCAACAAAAAAATACGAAGAATTACTTGATCAATGCCGAGGTTAATAGAAAGTCGGTCGTGGGAGTTACAAATCATAAGATTACGTAATCCATACCCTATCTCGTCAATAGCGTCCCATAATGATGTTTCAAAATTTAATTTCTTTAATAATCGGTTACGACGATAATATGATGCACAGCACCAAAATTCAGTAGACATCTTGTATGCACTGCGTCGTTAACGCTAACACACTCTTAGTGTTAAAGCCCTGAGAAACGCTGGTATCAAATATTAACATAGTAATACTAACACTAATATTAACATCAATATTGGTCGCCTGCATTTAAAAAACATCACAAAGAAAAAACCACGAAAAAAAGCTTTTGGATATCAACTATGTTGAGTTCTTTCTGCATTCAAACACTAAATTAATATAAGACAGTGTGCTCCACACATACATCGAACTGAAGCGTAATGAATTCTACGTTATACACTATGCTTCCGGCCCTGTTCTACCAACACAAATTGGTAGACACAAGTTAATCAGATAAAGGAAATGGTTAGACTACAAAACTACTGTAACACCAAAAATAACAACGGTGTAGGTTATATTTAAGATTAGTGAATCAATAAATAACACCATATGATGACATTACGCTAATCCACTAATCTACAGATTATCCTATTTACAGAGCATAATTTTAACTTCACAACTAAAAGCAATGACGCACTTCAATCATGCTCTCGATGTACTAATAGAAAAAGTTCTAATAAAATCAACTACAGCCTCAGCTTAACTGGGTTGTGCTGCTGAGTTGTGCTAGCCAGATCAATCCCGTTGACGGATGATTGTTGATGGCACTAGTAGATAGACAACTAGCTGAGAGTGTGGCGGTGAATGCGTTAGTCCTCGGAAAGGACAATAGCGCGTTCGTTCCCCACCACAAACGCCTGTGGTCAGGAGTTTTGCAAATATCTCAGCATCGTTATGGTTGTACTACTAATAGAATTATTTTCGATAAAAAATTAATGGTAAATTAGTAGTACATGGTATGGAAGGTTTAACAATGGATGCATACTGATCGGTGCGGATGCATACCGAACGGTGCCAAGGGTGAGGAGTATGCAGGCAGCATTTTTATCGACCCGTCGCTAGCAATGCCTCTAACTATACAACTCAATCTCACTAGCATGTTGCTTTATAACTACGTCGATCAACCATTACCTAATGTGCGCTACGTACTTTCGTTTGCTAGCTGATTGAAATTTTAACTTAGGCCTGTTGACATCCTTCTTAATCGATCGGATGACTTACTCATTATAAATGTCATGAGAATTTCTAGATCGGCGCTTCCTTGAAGTGAAAACCTGAAAGCGCATTAACACGGTCATTTTACGATTGCAGGGAAAACAACGCTCATATAGAACCCTAGATTGAGTCAATACCAACGAGTCAAGCAAATATCCTCAATTCATACCTGAACCTATATGAGAAACCTTCAACCTCCGTGGTTGACTGCGGGGAAAGAAAGCGAACTGAAGGAGTTCCAAATGACCGGACTGTATACATGAGAGTACGAGGCATTCAAATAACTTTCATTGGTCTTGATAATTTAATACAATACTAGTTCTCAAGAAGCACATTCGTTTTAAGACACGAGATCAATACAGTGGATAAATTGCGAGCTACAAGTCACCCAGTACGTACCAATACGTTTGCGCGGAAGCACAGCTATTGACGTCAAGTAACCAGTTTCCATTCAGCTTTCTTCTTCTGTTTCGAAGGGATATGCTGTGTAGTTCACCGTTACCGTTATTTATCAAAACCTTGTTTAACCCCTGAGAACAGATACATCTGTCCTAGAGAGAAACGACCAAGGATTTCTCTGCGATCGCAAGATTTAAGACACAAAGGCCAAGTAACACGAAAAAATTAGGCTTCTTACGAAAGCTAAAAGTCTAAAAAGCACTCCGTTGAAATTTCGTAAAAACGATGCAATAATGAAAATCGTTAACATTACTCACAACTGCTTTGGAACGCCAGCTTTTATACGATTCAGAGCAGCCTGCGCACCCTCGGTTGATGAGAAGACGACAATGGCCTGACGCACCCTCATATCGACGACGACATCCACAACGCCTTAACTAAGATCTTTCTAGCACACAGTGCTCCTTTGCTCGCTCTGACAGATCAGACATTACCTTCGGATAACGAGCGAAGCTTCTGAATTACATAGTCCTCGCCTATTTGAGGAGGGATTGAACCAACCCACAACTTATTTGTTGTCATCGACCTTCCGAAATTCGGCTGGAATTTCTAAATACCGGTATAATATGCAGGTATTCGAATAACAACACATAGAAGAACAATGATTCCGAAACGGTGATATACATATTTTAATTCACTAGAGCTAAAACGAATAAAAAATGTATCACCTTTCCTTTCCTGTTTGCGTGTACTACACTACTTGAATGTGCATTTATTGCCCGAACAGCAGACTCTATATCAGCAAACTGGATGAACGCGAATGGTGACGGTGACTCGTAGTTCTTTACATCAACATCCAAAATCAAGCCGTACTTTCCAAATCGACGACGCAGCGTATCGTCTGAGATTCGGCTTTCCAATCCACCAACATACAGCGTACGAGATGCCTGCAATGTAGCAATATTCTTTATCAAGAGAGTTCACCGGCCCATTATTCAAACAAAACTTGAGAATGAAAAAGAGTTAGACTGACCTTAGGATGAAAAACGTCAACCTCATTCCTGCTACAATTAGGGGAAGCATATTTCGCTGGAAGATCGGCGACTGAAGTCACCATGGCTCCACTACCAGCTGGGCTGTTTAGTGACAGATAATCGTTATAAGCTTCCTAAAAAATTTCACCCTCCCAGAACAACTATTCAACACCTTAAATAAGTAAACGTGGAATTATTCCCTTCGAATTAAATTTATTTGCTCGGATATACATCGACACACCAATAGCTTACCAGCCCACTGAAGCTTGGATGGGGTGAGGTGGTAAATCCAAATCTGGAACTACGATGCATAGCGTGGACCACACAATAACAGGGTCACTAAAAGGGTTAACAAAAAGGACATTGTGCCAGATGTTCGAAGCTCTTCCTGCCCTTCCAATATACGGAATCCATTGAATGACCCTGATGAGTGATAAATAAGAACGAATTTTAATGATGATCGTACGATCTACTCGATTACTAACATATTCGCAACTTTTTGCATTGCATTCGATGGAACTGTAATTGGGGCAGATTGCAATTTGTGCACTGAATTCAATTTTTCCAAAGGTGTCCATTTTCTCAAAGATTTTTTTTCAAATTTATCGTATTCCATGGATACTTTACCACTGAAGAACTTCTACTGAGTGGAAAGGGAGAAGAAACTTCAATTTACACATATATCATTACACATATATTCACATTTACATATATTGTTCCTGGTGAAAATGCTGCAAATTATCTCTCACTACGGACTGTTACTGGTATTGGGACATCGCTTTGGCTAGACAAGATGGTGATGCGAGTGATCCAGATTTATAAGGTATTATGACTTTATATTCGCGGAAGAAATAGAGTACAGTCGAAAGGAATCAAGCTTACCCAAAGTCTTTACTATTCGAAAAACGAAGCTACATTCAAAAAAAGCGGAAAAACGTTTTGTGGGTTACATTAAGCAATGGTTTTGCCACTGGATAAAAAAAGAATAAAGCTCTCGGCGTTGATCAATCGCTGGGGGATGCACCGTGCATTCGACCTCATTAAGCATCGTTTGGCGGTGATTGAATGCATATCTGGCCTTTACAATGACTCGCGGTGGCCTACCGCTGTATCGAGCCAGTACTGCTACTCCTCCAGATAAGTCTGGTACCAAATTGCCGACTCCGGAGTGAACGAAGACCTGGTGAGCCATGGGGGCGGAGATCGATTCCACGTATGCATTACAGAGCACCGACCACTGCGCTACACGTGCTCTTTTTCAATTGGAGTATAAGAAAACTTGTGCCTTTTTGACAAAGACCTTATATTACACGGGATGACACTTCAACCAATAAAATTTATTACGAGTTGAGATATGTTTGCGCTTAAAGTTTAAACGCTAAAAACTAAACTACCATCGAACCGTGTAAGTGGAAACAATTTCAGTTATGTAGTCAACCGCTATCACCCTGGTATGAGTTGAAATCAACTGTGTTCTGTGTGTTGAATGAACATAACAAATTTTTCGATGAAGAGGAACCAACTTACTCTACCAGCTACATAAAACATCCGAAGGATGACATAAGAAAGAAATCACCTGAACAACAACATGACTAGCCGCTCGAATCCTCACACGCATGGATAAAATTGAAATGTGTGAGTCGTTGACTAATTTCTCCATATCAACAACTCTACAAAGAAATAACACTACAATACAACTGGTAAAACTGCATATGACCAAAAAGCTACCGTTGGAAAATGACGAGCGCCTTCCTGGAATCTCCATCTCCTTCAATCGAAATGTCAACGATTCGTCCATGCTTTTTCAAGGCATCACGTATAGCTTCTTTAACAGTTCCATCACTTCGAGGTGGAAGACGTTCTACATAAACTCCCTAAAAAAAGAATACTGTTTACTTCTTACCCTACAACGCGCTAACACTTGAAACCTGTAAGCCTCCCGAAGAGTGAGTAGGCATTGAGGCAGACGTAGAACTATGACACGATCCCGACGGAACTGCACAATAGTTGACCGATTCCGGTGAGCGCCTGAAAGTGCTGAACTCACATTTCTAAGCCATCAGACTTTAAAGCAAAGATAAACTTCTTAAAACTTCTTAGTAATTAGGGATATCAAGATTTATCGAACATATTATTTTTCCAAGGGAACGAAAAAGGTCACGTCCAGACACGAAAGTACCAGTTTTCTACACCAATTACTTTCGTTACACCCCATAATTAGCACAAAAAACTTAAAACACATACAGGAAAACTACTACTGTCCTCGAGTAAATTTATAACTCCAGGTTTGAGTGCCAGGACAATATCAGCGTAGAACTTGTTACGAAACAATGTTGAGCACCTTACACACAGCCAATGTCACAGGTCCAGCATAAATGCAGCACAACTAACCTTATGTGCCCCTTTTCTGCACAAAAAATGGATGTTAAATCTAAACATATTTATTTAAATAGAGTGCAACGGAGTCTATCAAACTGAAGCAACAAAGAACCAGAAGACAGTTCGGCTTCTGGGTTCACAATAACACCATCAAAAATGTCCACTGCTGTGCCCAGCACTATACAGTACTCACTTTGAGCTATATCAACCGTTAAAAAAGCGATTGTACAATAGAGAAGTGAGCAGTCAATACTACGAACCAGCCAAAAAAATAACCCAATCAATGGTGAGATTCTGCTCTGAATGATGATTCATGAAAACTCCTTGTCGGCATATATCTAATACAACGAAACAATGAGTAACGCGATGAAGCATCAAGTTAAAAGGACCTATGCAGTGAATAAAATGACATTCAAACTTATCCTATCCTCCATTTGTTCCCATTCTTTTTCACACATCTGAAACGTGATTACAATTCTTATTGCAGTGCTCACATAATAACCTTACAAGTCAGTTTCATAGAAACTGCCTTCTTCTACTTGAACTGTGTGACATTACAACTCTACCATACTCTTACAACAGTTCAAAATATCCATTGTTGCCAAATTTCAAACAAAAAATTGCAACATTTAACCTCATTGCGTATTCACCAAAAAAGGCAATCGTGTATCCGTCCCTGTATGTAACCACCACTCCCCCCCCTAGTAACCACCCATTAAACCAAACAATAACACAGGCTTGGTTTCACTGGAAATATTGGTACACCTCTCTACCAGGTCAACAGAGTGAACCGAAAGATTTCAAAGCGTAAAAACTATCGTTACAAAATGAAACATTTACAAAATCTCTAATAAATGCATAAGTGAACAACAACACGACAACATCTACCACGACAACTGGTCAAAAGACCGATTCATTTCACGTCATAAAAAACCTCCAAGCATTTTCATAAATGAATTAATGGTCCGAAAATCAGGTTTCTCAGCGTTAAAAGGTGATTTAAAACAATAAGGTTATGTGGCTAGAATTTCGACCAGAAGTATTGCAATATTTAGAACAATAATCTAGAAAACCACATAGAACAAAAGGCTTCGATATCGCAGAAAGAAAAACGAAAGCATATAAGTGCACAAGGAAATGCGCAATCACAAATGAACAATCTTAGTTCCTCTTAATGACACCTAATTTTAGTCCGTAGGATTTTGCCACCGCGCAGATCAACAGCAATAGTAAACACATTTACAGGACCTACTAAAATGCGAATTGAATAGTTCTCAGATGATTACAAAGTTGAACGTTGTTCGAGCATTGATTCAGATGATGAAATGATCACAAAACCTGGTTAGGTCTAGATTTTTATACTTCGATCATTACACTGAAGGAAGGTTAATGTGGTATATAGAGCAGAAAATCCCTAAAAGTGAAATGAAACGATGAAGAAAGAAAAACGATAAAGAAGGATAAAGTTCTCGGCGCTGATCAATCGCTGAGGGATGCGCCATGCATCGGACTTCACTAAACATCGCTGAAGGTGACAGGATGCTGGTCCTTACAATGACTCGCGACCGATGTATCGAGCCAGTGCTGTTATACTCGCAAACAATTCTAGTACCGATATACCGACGCCGGAGGGAAGAAAGGCGTCAAATGTGTTTGAGTAGCATGACCCCAAACGGTTAGATTAAAAGTGCTCCACTTTACAACTAAATTTCATGTTTTCTATCGCGACCATTGCTTCGGGATGTGACGAGTAACCCGGTGCCACGAAAGTCATTGGTCCACATTGGATCAGAGCCAAGTCTACCAATTTTTGACCGTTTTTTATACGCTAACTGTTCATGCCACTGGTTTAAAACGAGACAAACCTTCGAAGAGAAATGTTACCGGGTAATAAAAGAAATTAATAACGCTTAAAATATAAATATGTGCACCATACGAGTGACAGAATGGATGAGAGTAGGTAGTTGAAAACCATTTCGGAGAGACGGCAAGATATACTTCATAGATTTTACAGAAGCAATAGAAAACCTAGGACTAGTTTTCTGCCAATTTAGGATTTTATACAATTCATCCACCATCTGGTGAGAAATCTGTTCTGCAACTTACTAAAATCTATTCCTGTATCTGGTCAAAAATTAGTTTATACTTTAACCCCACAGGCGATAATGATCTTTCGACAACTCCCGATAATTTTCCAATAAACAAAGGCATAGGAGTGTTGACACCTATAGAAAGTAGCTGTCATAATGCTCTAGGGATAAGTATGACTCACTAGAGACACTTTCAATTTCGATTTCCTTTAAAACACCCTTCGTTAGCAACAGCCTCTCAACAGGTGAAACAAACTCGTATGGCAAATAGTTCTGGGTAATTTATAAAATGCATAATAAATGTTTTCTTATACCACGTCCGATTCAACACAGGAAAAGGCTGTGTACGGCAATGCAAACCACGGGAAAAAAAATTCATCGACACCATTGCATAACGTTCACTTCTTACGTTCTGTGTGCCGAAAGAAGTCTGCGTTGTCGAAAACTTCACAAACATAGCTGAACATCGAGTAACTGAACTTCACAGTCAGTGCTTTCAGATAAAGTCTATACCTCAAGACAAGTTGCTACCAGACATCCAAAACTCATTACACCACAAAATAGCAATGAGTACTGAAATTTTGCGATCACAAATACCGGTCCACGTTTCCATTTGATGGCTTAGAAACTCGAAAACATGTCAGTGTTACAAGAAAACACTAATAAGGAAAGCTTGAAGACAGAGACATTTAGTGAAGAGGAAATCGTTGGAATCTAAGAAGAAACGTAGTGTATTGTGAAAACATATCACAAGGAAGTGGAGCGGCAATATTGGATAATCGGTCAAAAGATAAAAATAATAAAATCTCAAGACTATAATTTCATACCCTTGGTCTCTTCGGTGCACTTCTGAACGAATTAATCGCTTCCCTTGATTGGTATTCGCTCGTTGCAAACTTGTTCTGTAAATACGACCTTTGAAAAGAAAAACTTCTAACTACGAAAACAATAGCAATGGAGAAAAGTGGTCTGGATCGGATTAAGCTAGCAGCTTGGCTGACGAAGGAGGAAACCGGAGACGAGAAATGAACAAATTCTCATTCAATACTAAGACCCAAAATCCTTACCTGCCGACGTCTTTCGTTCGTGGAGAAGGAGTTCGTCTTCGCGAAACGTCTGGAGTCGACTTCGGTGATGCGGTGCCATTTGACGTACTGGACATGGATGAAGTCGTCACAACACCGCTTAAACAGAACCATATATGTGTCAGGTCTTTATAAGAAGAGTGAGAAAAGAAGGATCCTTCTGCACCAAACAACTGAGAAATCTTTTCTATGTGTAAAACCTAGAAATTTGAAGTAAACAGTAGAATTTAAAAGGAAATAAGATGTGTGAAATAACAAATAGCCTTTGCCCTACCACCTATAGGGGAAAAGTATAGCATGGGAACTAAATAACATTCCAGCTTAATAGCTTAGCATAACTACCGAGGTCATATTCGTAGAAGTAAAACAAAAAGATAATGATATCGCCATATAATCGTCAAAAAAAGAAACAATAAAAACCTTTGGTAGATTCCCTTCCAGACTGATGTGGGTAACACGTCTCATATTCAACCTGTAGGGGTCAAGTGGACCATAAACGCTTAACTCTTCGCAACATCCCTCCCATCAAATGAAAGGCGTTATAGTAGTGAAGGCTGGTAAGCCAAGTACAGGGATAGAAACAAGAAGAGATCAAACAGGGTCTAGTGATATATCATGTACTCCGTTAACACCATCCGTCTCATCCCGCCATCACGGGAGATTTACGTCTTAACAACCTTTATCAATACGATGTAGAAGCACCTCAGCCAACCACACTGTTTTAGCAGGTAATGTGATGGCATCATGCTTGGCAGCATGCCAGATGGATGGTTATGCCATGCAGTATCGATCGAGGAGGGGATGCATCACGAGGATGGGTGGATGGGAGGAGCACTGAATGGAATGTAGAATTCATCGTGATTCTGCCTCATTCAATAGTATGCATTCATTCTAGATCATTCCAGCCTAGAGACAACTATTGATTTGATTCCTGAGTGGATCCACTATCAGAAAAAAACACGTAAACAGCATATTGGCGTAAATCAATAAACAATCTCTGCACGACAGTTCCTAAAATACTGATTAGTTTGAAGGTTAACAAAGAATTTACAAAGAATAAAGAAGTTTGTTAGAATATAACAACGACCAACACACTGAAAATTCATTTGCTCGCTGAGAAAATCGCATTACTTCATCTAAGCGAAACAACAGTTTTCACTCGACTGTCATTTAACCTCGGTAGTGAAATAACCAACATAGCTTTAAACTGTTGAGCTTACAAGAGGTTGGCAAACAACTTCTATTCGGCTAACGTTTCGATGCCTCCGTCTTTATCACAGCCGATGATCCGAGTCGATGACCCACATCTGGTCGTCTTATGTACTCGAATCACCGGCTCTGACGAAGAGGAAGTCGTCGAAACATTAGCAAAATAGAAGATCTTCATCGACCTTGCGTAAGCTCAACGATTTGAACACACGCTCCATTCAGGATTCACAATGGGAATTTTCATCGATCTACAGCGCTTTGAACGACCAAAAACACTAATTAGCCTATTGAAATAGCCTCAAAACTAAAGAACGTAACTCAAGGCATCGCACCCGTTTGATGATTTGCGCAATAATTGGGACGCAGGTCAATCGGGTACGGTATCGACGAACAAACGCAGTTGCTTCGTTCTTTACTCCGGGCGATTAGAAATTATGGAGTCCTACTTGGCCAGAGGATAAAACTTGGGAAAGTTTCCCATATGTAAAGACAGTCTTTTCTTGAAAGAATAGTGACAAGTTAAAGGTTTCCCGAAGAAATGGGATTACTTATTCTATACGGCTTAACCCCAACAGTTAAGCTCATGATACTCATTTTGCCCATGCATATGATATGCAGCTTCACCACTTGCTACTGTGACACGAAACATTCTGATGGTATGTATAGGACATTTGTACAGTAATAAAGCGCAAAAAACCATTAAAACGTTCGCTTGGATTTATAAAAAAAGAAGTACTTCTTCACGCCAGGTTCGTGAAAAGTGATCCTGAATGGTATTCCGGATTCGAGTCGATGATCTCCGGCATAGGCCTTCTGAGCGGATCGGACATCCATAAAGCTAACGACGAAGCCCTCAGTCGTTCGTTCTAGTTGATGGACACGACCAAAGCTGAAATTTTTACGCAAATGCACATCACAGTAAAACTTAAGCGTCCACAAAAAACTTTGCTAACTTCGAAAAGGATGAAATTATATGGTCATCTGACACGGATTCTGGCAATCCGGAAATGTATACATGACGACTTTCACGACCAACGACGTCACGACCGAGATGAGTGGAAGCAGTGCCACGGGGCTGACTCTGGGGTGGTGAAGCGACGACGACCACCATTCTCCGTACAAAACTGGGGTGGTGGTTAACCAACGATGGTCGGAATCATTTGTCTGAAGAATAGCACACACCATCAAGAAACTATACATTCGACATACAAGCTAAACTAGAAAGATATCTGAGTGCAGAAAGACAAGAAAAACGAAATCAGATTTACTCTCTGACCGAAATCTGTATCTCAATGAATGAACAAATGAAATGGCATTCAGCTCTCAAGACAATGAAGAAATGAAAGAAATGCACTTTATAGTGGGAACTGGTATAGCGATTGCATACAGAAGAGAGTTCTATGAACAATTCGGAAAGGAAAACTTTGTTTTAACACAATACTACTTAAAAATGCTTCCAAAAACGAAAAACCTTCGCTATCCTTCCTCCTCGTAACCTCGTAAGACGGTTCTCTAACAATCTAAAATCAATAAACCCACTTACAAGTGGACATTTTTTTAAGTAAAGGCTTCATAAGAAACGATCATGAACGAGACAAATGTGGTCAACCATCAAATTAAGTGCTCCATATTCAACCACGTTGCCCATGTACCATCAGACCAGGGATATTTTGAACAATCCCGAGTCCTTTATGGATAACATGACTAATGACAATAACGTTATCAATCCCTAGGGAAATCACACTACGAGGATTGCTGCACTTTGGACCATGACTCCTTTCGAGCTCATTCGTTTATGACCGACAACAAAAAGGCAATCATCAATCTTACGTCGAAATCAGAGCGAGAAAAACAAACACGTAGCTCCAGGCACTTCATTTCTAACGTTTTTTAACGCTTCGAAGTAGTGCTTGTCTCATCGAAGATGATTTCATCCTTAATATCCACGAAAGTATTCAACGAATGGTTTTAAACCGCTTATTTTTAACCTATTCCCGGAAAGAACTCCACATTGTACTAACTCTCTGCCGTAAAACTGCTTACCTACTTTACTGCGTAGTAAAATTAGCACCTAAACATCATCTTCATTTCTTTCATTGACCAATTAAAATGAAAGAATAACGATTCAAACATATGAAAAAGAGCAGGACGGCAGTTATAGGCTGATTAGAGGAAACCCGTTTAAGTAATTCTGAACAAACCAGTACCAGTAATGTGGTAGAAGAAACAAAATTGGAATATGCCCACAGATGTCCTTCTGTGGTGGATTTCGGGGCAGTAAATCGCAATGCTGCACAATGTAACCCTCAGATGAAAGATAACACATTAAATGCAGACTAACATTAATCATTAATTTCCCCTGGGGCATAGGTGAACTACACCTAAAGGAAGCGCCCTCCGTTCCTACTACGCTGGGAAGCGAGTTACCCTCAGTATATAAGCGATCACATAGTTGTAATGATATCAACATGTCGTGCACCTTGCAGGTAAATTCTGCTAAGTGTGAGAAATAAATTTACATGACTCCACTCATTACCACATCTAGCCAACCTCAGATTACCACTCTCCAGAATCTGTAAAGCCTCTTAAGCGACAAGGATAGGTAATCTGAGTACATAACAGAGATGAACGGCTACTTTACTGATGCCTAATAGAGTCACAGATGATTTATAGTCTATAGCGATGGTCTGGAAGCCAAGGAATTATACCTTTCTGCATACAGAAAATTCCAAACTAAACTTGACAGAATAACAACAAACAGCCTTAAAAATATTGGTGTTGACATAGTAAACGAGTAATTATCGATTCTCTGCACGTGATTCTCTTATCTCGAAAAGAAGGTAAGTCCTTGTTGGCAAGCCCCCATGTGCTCAGAGGGCAGCCGACGACAACAGTCGCCGGACTAGGGATCTCTTCTTGATCGACCAAGCAGATCAAAAACAAACGAATACGGGGTGGCGATTTTTGCTGGGTGGGAGGGTGACGGAGAGGCCGCCGCGACAGTGAGGGTACGGCGAGCAAACACGTTTTTGCGCCGGCGACCGCGCCGCGGCATCCCCGCGTCGCGGCCCTCCACACCCCCCACTCACACGACTACGCAGCGGCTCGTCCCGGTGTCTGCACCACGTACTGCTGGCTGTTCTGAGTCTTCGCTAAAGGATATCCAGGAATTACTATATATCGTTTTAATTCGGAATCAATAACATTACAAGGTTAAATTACGCAGCTTTTTAGCTGCGCCGAGACAAATCTGGCTCATTGGAGATTCGGCTCTATTGCATAGCAACGATGCTGACAGCATCAGGATGTGATCAGCATGCATCCGAATTTGACTGAGTTCTATTTATATATGAATGAGCTACTTAGCACCATACATTGTAGGATGCTTTTGCGTTCAAATAGCACTCAAAAGGCGCTGCTTGCGGTGAGATCCGTCACCCGAAACGACTGAGAACTCCACCTTAGTGGTTCCATGTTTGTTTGAAGAGTCATATTTCCAATCCGACACACACATCCCCAATCCTGTGATCACTCGTGTTGTCTGGGATGGGGGCAAGCAGCGTCGTGGCTGCTCGGGTCGCCCGGGTTGTGATCGATGACGCCGACCGAACGAGTGCACGCCGCAAGGCCGCGGTTGCACGCAGGCGGCCAAGAGCGCGGGAGAGCGTACGTCATGCGATGCGCAGACGCGCGAGTGCGCGGGCGCACGGCGGCCGCGACGCGCCGTTGGCCCGCCAAGGCCGGCCGTCCGACCGGGGTCGTCGTCGGCCGTGGGAGCTATGGCTTTTGTTTGCTAGGAGGCACGGACGCCGACGACTATCGTACCCGAGAGGAATGTGGGGAGTCTATCAGGGGTGTTACTGTGTTG